AAAGGGTAGAAGGAACCATTCACCGACAGATGAATGGACAAACAAAATGTGGTATATAGAAATAATGGAATATTATTCAGCCTTAAAAAAGAAAGGGAATTCTGATACATGCTACAATATGGATGAATCTTGAAGACATCATGCTACATGAAATAGGCCAGTCACAACTACCATATGATTCCATTCATATGAGGTACTTAGAGTAGTCATATTCATACAAATAGACAGTAGTATGGTGGTTGCTAGGAGCTGGGGTGGAGAATGAGCAACTATTGTTAAATGGTACTGAGCTTCAGTTTCACAAGATGAAAAAAGACCTGGAGATGAATGGCAATGATGGTTGCACAACACTATGAATATACTTAATGCCACTAAACTGTACACTTTAAAATGGTTAAAACCATAATTTATGTTACATACATTTTACCACACTTTAAAAAGTATATAAATTTTGAAAAGAAACAAATTCAAACAGTAAGGAAGTGTTCTGGCACATATAACAGGAGGTCCTGACATGGGGAGTGCCTTCGTGTTGACTTCTCAGTGTTTCTCTTGGCTTACCTTCTTCTGGTTGGGATCAAGGAGGCTGTCAAAGTTTCTCATTCACCACAACCACGTAATAGGAAGAAAAGAGAACTCTTCCATCCTGGCCTTTCAGGCATGGGGCCTAAGATTCACTCTGAGTGGAATGCTGTCACATGCTTATCCCTGAACCAAGACACTTGCAAGGGGAATGGAGTGAAAGATAGTCTTAAGCCAACTTCAGAGCCTGAAGATGAAGGTGGAACAGCTTCCCTCATAGGAGATCAGCTGCCTGGGGGAGCGATGAATGTGTATAATTAAGGAGGAAGGAGCAGATGGGATGGGTAAGCAACCAGAAAAATGTACTGCCTCGTATCCAGCTCAGACATACTGAAATGGTGTTTTTTTTAGGAGATGTGAAAGCCATCCATGGAGGAGAAATTAATGTGTGTGCACGTGCGGCTGGGTTTTCCTTTCTGCATCAGTTCTCAGGACCTGCTAACCTGCAAACTCTAGTCCTTTCACATGTAGCTAATGACTTTTTGGCGGACGTCTCAGCAAACACCTTTTTCCTTGGTATTTATTAATCAAGATGTTGCACTTCATTTATTCAGATAGTTATTGAGACCCACTTCGTGTCTTCCAGGGAAATGGAACAGTGTGAGCAAAAGAAAAGATGCATGAGGGGAAAAGTGACAAACTCCTCATATAAATAAATAGCTTGTTGTCCCTGGAGCATAGCCTGTGGGTGAGGGAGTGGTAGGAGAGAAGCAGGAAAGGTAAAATGGCATCAGATCATAAAGGTCTTTGTCTAGGCAGTTCTTGTTTCAACTTATTTATGGAGTTATTGGGTATACAATAAAGTGCATAAGGTGCTTAAACTTAAATGAACATCTCAACAAATTTTTACATGTGTATACATCCATATAATTACTACCCAGATCTATAATAGCTGAACATTTCCAGCATTCCAGAAGGTTCCTTCATGCTCCTTCCCAGTCAATACCCATCCCCAGAGGGAACTACTACTATTTTGGCCTCTATTGCTATTAATTAGTTCTGCCTATTCAACTTCACAGAAATGGGATTATACAATATGTACCCTTTTGCATCTGGTTTCTTGCACTCAGTGTAATGATCGTGAGATGCCTCCGTATTGTCGTTTGTATAAGAGTTTGTTCATTTTATTGCTCCATAGTATTCCAGCGAATGAATACTCCACAATTTGTTTATGCATTCTCTAGTTCTGTGCTAATGTGAATATAGCTATTTATAAACACTTATGCATGTCCTTTGGTGAACATATGCACTAATTTCTCTGGGGTATATGCCTAGAAGTGGGTAGGCATGTTTTGCTTTAGTAGATACAGCCCAACAGTTCTTCAGGGTGGTTGTATCAAGGGAGTCTTGACTAGTCTTAGGGAAGACTGGGAATGGTATGATGAAATTTACATTTCACTCTGGCAGCCACTGTGGAAGAGACACTGAAGCGGGTGAGATTCTAGACAGGGGGACCAGGAAGGAACCACGACTAGGAGTACCAGATCAGGTGAGGGATGATGAGGCCCTGAGCTCAGGCAGCTTGCTTGCATGGAGGAAGAGGATGGTTTTGAAAGATGGTATGAAGGTAGAGATGCCATGATTGTTTGGGTGTGATGGGAAGGAAGAGAATGAAGTTCAGGATGCCTGCCAGGTCTCTGAGTTGGTACTGGCAGAATGGAGGTGGCCTGCTCTAAGAGAGAGAGCACTGAGCAGGAGCAGGTTTGAGGAAGAAGATGAGCTCCCATTTGAACATCTTGAATCTGAGGGGCCTGTGGGAGATCAAGGTGGAGGTAGCCAGTAGGCAGTTGGATGGATAGGACTGATGCTAAGGGGAGAGATCAAAGCTGGAGATTTCTAGTCCAGAATCAAGGAAATGAGTGAACCATGAGGAAGAGGATATGCAAAGGGTCTCCCAAGAAGAAGATCCAGAAGGCCGTTCTTGAGAGGTGAGAGGAAAACCAGGAGCTTGCCTGCTGTGATAAAAATCCACGGGAGGCAGAGTCTCCAAAGGTTGCTGAGGAGTAAAAAAAAAAAGGGTATTGAAAGGTGTCCTGTGAACACAGCGTTTCACCTCGTCATAGGTAGTGCAGGGGCACCCAGGGTTCTCCGCGTCAACAGTCTCTGGTGCCAGAAGCCTGCACTGGTGAGCCCACGGCTGGCTGGCTGGCTGGGCTGCCTCTCCCCTCAAGCCTGTTTCACAGCCTCTTAGCCTGAGGGGAGGGGAGAAGGAGAGGAAGAGAGAGATTCAACCTCAGTCCCAGAGCAGTTTGTGGGGACCTCAGCTGGACAATAGAGGGCAGACAGCAGCTAGCGCAGGGCCCACCAGGTCCCTCCTGACATTGAAACACTGAAAACATTGACGTTTGAACACAAATTTCCCCTGGAGCCTTTCCCCTTTGGAAATTCCCAGTTGTAAAGCATATTGACTTTAATCTGAGGTGTCAGAAAGGCTGCCCAGGAGTCTGGGAGCCAACCAGCTGAAAGCACGTTTGTATGAAGGTTGGGGCAAACAAAATAGGATTCAGAACACTTTAAGATCTATGCCAGTGGTGAATTTTTCCAGGAAAACCTGACAGAAATGGACCCTCTAAGGCAAAAAAGCACTGGGTCTTATCATTATGAATTTGTATTCTTACTGAAATATAAACTTGGGGAAATGGTGAAGGGAAAAGCACAGCACACATCTTATTTCTTTACCAGGCACAGGGGGCTGGAGGAGGCTCCCGTCGAGTTTAATGGGCAGCTTTATGTATTTATATGCTTTGACTAGAGCTAAAGAGGTCTGTGCCACACAATGGGCAGTTTCTCGTTGGATTTTAAAGAAAATAACTTTGATCATTTCAAAAGCAATGAAGCCTGATGCAGTGAAGAGAAAAGAAGGCGGTAATTTATGGCTACCATTAAGGACACAAAGACAAAGGGAACCGTTTCACTAAGTGAAGATTTACAAATGTGTAAAAACCATCCTTATGACTAGAAATAGCTGAGTGTCTCTGTCGCACCAAACAAAAGGGGGTGGGAGGGAGGGAGGGGTGAACGACAGAAAAAGGGATGCAACCTGCCTGCCTTCACCAGGGATGAAAAGGTCAAAAAAAACAACCACAGCAAAGTTTTCTTCTCAGATTTTCCATCAGGCAGAAGCACTAGCAACTAAGGCCCAAAAGGCAGCCCCAGCCTGGGTGCCAAGGGCATGGGAGGGGTGCGGAGGAAGGAGCCTGGGAGGGGGGATGGATGGACCCCAGGAAGATGTGTTATTGCGCAGGAGCTAGATGGGGATTTTTTGTGATGTTTATTTTTTTCTGATTATCAAAGGAATGAATAGATAGATGTAGATGCAGACACAGATAGAGATATAAATAGAGACACAAACACATGTGTATGTATATATTCAAAGGAGAAAATCTAATGAATACAGAGAAGCTCAAAGAAAGTTAAAATCCCTGAGTGTGGTGTTTTGTTGCATCTAGGAATTGTTGCTACATTTGTTACTGGAGTGATGCCAAGTGTTGTGGGCTTCAGTTACCTGTGCCTTCGGTGGTGTGGGAAGGCCCTGTGCGTGTGTGTTCCCTTGTGAGGAAGTCTTCCTTGGAGAGCCAGGTGATGGCACTGCCTGTATTTGCAGCTGGCCGGATCTGAAATTTATGATTCCACTGGTCATAGATACCACCTTTGTCCCAGGCAAAGTTGGGGCTGTCTCTTGTCCCAGGTGGCTCACCCTTGAGCTTTCGTCCCCCTTTCCCCTCACCTTCTAGGCTGCCCTGAAGATACATTTAACTGGTTTTCAGTGAAGTAAACATTTTCTGCTGTGATTCTGGGCCCAGTAGTGTGCCAGAGGGACACAGCCTCAGTGTGGCCCATGGTGGAACAAGTGGCCCACTGCCCTTCGGAGGGCCGTGGGGTGGGCAGCATGGAGAATGGTGCAGAGGGTGTGCTGAGGTGAGCAGAGAAGCTGGAGTCCCCTTTTTCACTGAGTTCTCCTGAGGGTCAGATGTATGTGAAATCCCCTCCACTCCATCCACACTCCCCCTCTCCCAAGCGGACTCCCCTAGGTGGCTTTGGGGCTTGGGGAATGGAAGACTCTGAGCTACACAGGACACTTCCTGGGTGCCCCGTGGCCTTATATTTCAGGCTGGAAGGCCTGTTCGTCTTCACAGAAGGGACAGGGTCAAATTGTAGGACACTGTAAACGGGCGGAGCACAAGGCTCTCTGAGGGCTGGAGCAAGCGGGTTTGGTGCCAGGGCCTGGCGGGGGACTTGGGGCCCGCCCCCGCCAGGCTGACAGCCGCCCTCGGGCCACCGCGGCCGCGCCCCCTGCGCCCGAGGCCGGGAGGGGGAAGGAAGGGGGGCCGGTAGGGGCGGCACTGCCCCCGCGCAGCCCGCCCCGGCCGGGGAGGACCGTGTGAAAATGAGGCCGGGGCTCGGGGGCCAGGCGGGGCCGGACCGGGGGTGTCAGAGCGCGTCAGGCAGGGCGCCTGCACACACCTCCCGGAGCCTCCACTGTACTTGCCCGCGCGCCGTCGCCTCTGCCCGCAGCCGCGCCTTCCATGGGGGTCGCGGGCCGCAGCTGTCCCGGGGCGGCCGGGGCGCTGCTGCTGCTGCTGCTGACCGCAGCCCTTCCTCTGGGCCGGGGCCGCGCCCCGGGGCTGCTAGAAGGTGAGTGTCCGGCTGCGGGGTCGCACCTGGCAGGACGCAGACGGGACCAGCGCCGGGAAGAGAGAGTCCCAGGACCCTGAGCGGGGCAGGCTGGGCTGCGGGAGCTCGCATGGCTACCGCTCCCCGGGGGCTCTCGCCCTCTGCCCAGGCCAAGGCGCCACCACTGCCGGGGCGAGAGGCCCCGGGCCTGAGTGCTGCGACCCAGCCTCGGCCCCGGGGCTGATGACAGTTCCCGCCCTGGCCTCAGCTGCTCGGGGACCCCGGGGAGCGCCTGCTGATGAGACTCGCGCCGGTTGAGCGGATAGATAAGAGGGCGTTGGAGTCTCCAGATCTAGCTCCTCCTCGTGTCGATGGGGAAACTGAGGGCCGCGGCTGGCTGGGGTGCATGGCGAGGTCATGGTAGCTGTGCTCCCGCTTTCTTCAGAGGCTAGGAAATTCCCCTGCGGGCTTCAGGGTCGGCTCCGGAGATTTTTCTACCTGCGGAACAGCCACTGGTTGAGGATCTGGGAATACCTGTAAGCAGCAGCCAGCCTGGGTTTTGGACAGCAGGAGATAAGTACTCTGGATGTACAGTACTTTCAAACCTTTTGTTTTTAATTAATATCCTGGAGTGGTGTCAATCCAGACAATACTTCTGCCAAGGCCGGTTTCCAGATTGAGAGGGTGGGCAGTGGTGAAGGACTGTGGGTACCATTCCCTCTTTGCACCATCTGAGGGCTCAGGATCAGGATGGTGTGCTCACAGCCCAGGGCAAGCTTTTTTGCTAACTTGATCTTTCTTCAGCAGGCATTTACTATTGCCTATGCATGTGCCAGGCCAATCTATGATCAAACAACATGCAGAGGGGGAGAAAGGCAGGAGAACAGTGACAGCCCTGTGTGATATGTGCTATGAAAAGAGGTATATACAGGAGCACGTCGTGGGGAATACCTCACCTACACTCGGGGGTCATGGCAGGCTTCCTGGAGGAGGTGGATTTGAACTGAACTGAAGGCATGTAGAAAGGGTGGAGGCTGTTCTAGTCAGAGGGATCAGACCATGCCTGGAAACGGGGGCCTGGAAATGACATGATTCATTCCAGGGCCCCTCAAGCAGTTTAACTGGTGAGGAGTGAAGTGAGGTGGGCTGGTAGGAGATGATGCTAGCAAGTGGCCAAGGTCAGGTCACACAGGGCTTGGGCCACCGTACCAGGAGCTGCTGTGCTTTTTGCAGATGTGGACGAGTGTGTCCAAGGGCTAGATGACTGCCACATCAACGCCCTGTGTCAAAACACAGTCACCTCGTACAAGTGTTCCTGCAAGCCTGGCTACCAAGGGGAGGGCAGGCAGTGTGAGGGTAAGTGACTTGGGGATCAGTGGTGGGTGGGTTGGGAGGGGAAAGTTCCTCATCTCCCCAGCTCTTATAGTGACCACTCATGTTGGTAAAAGTGCTGACTATCCCCCCTCCCAAAGTAACCCTCCCCCCTAACTGAAATGCATTTCAGATCCTTAAAGACTCCTCCCCAGAACTGATTATATCAATAGTTTTATCTGGCTCCGAAATGTCCCTTGTGTTTAGCTTCTGAAAAGGAAAAGAGGTGCTTCAGTATCTTTTGGTCCCACTCAGTTTGAGGGCGGAAAGTCAACAGCCATGTTGATCAGGAGAGCCATGCCTGCCAGAGCAGGGCGGATCCTGCACCTCCCTGGGGCAGTTTGCACCCTCGCCCTGGAGTCTGAGTGCCAACCCTGCCCTCCCCTGCAGGCTCTGGAGGTTCCATCTTGTCCACGGCTCTGGGCAGTTTGGCATTCTGATCTGCCAAGCTTGGGAGATGCACCAAGGGTCTGGCGCATTTGGAGCTACAAGTTCACCCTGGAAAGATGTGTGCAGAGGGATACTTTAAGCCCTTAGAGCTCCAGATATGGGAGCCTGAAGTAAGGACTCTTCCATTTTGAGTTCTGGGCCACTGGGGATTAGCTCAGTGTCATGAACTCTGAACTGGCTGGAGACCTGACCCTTACAGGGAAAGGTTGCTCCTGGGAATGGAAATCATGGCCTGTTGGAGATGGCAGGACACTTCAGGGAGCTCGGAGCCAATCCCATCCTTCATTTTACAGATGGGAACACTGAGACTCAGGGGAATTAGGAAAGGGACCTGTGGTCATGATCACACAATTAGCCTGCCGGTGAAAGGAAGTCAGATATCTAGCTCTGTCCCTGGCCCCACATCTCTCCTACTCACTCAGCCTCCCGGTGTCCCTCTTTGGTTGGATAAGAAATCCTAATGTGTATAGTCCCCTTTTTGCCGAGGAGCAAAACTCCTGGTTTTCCCATCAGAGGAGGCATGCCCCAGGTCAGGTTCACAGCAAGTGGGGTTGGAGGTCCATCCATAAAGCCCTTCTGTTTCTCCAAGTTCATATTTTCCCAGAGACAGACAACCATCTTCCTATCTGTGCTACATGGGAGGCCAAAAGACTACCTGTCCCTGAAACATCTCTCTGCTGATTCCTCCATACCACACTCTCACCGTATTCAATATTTTTACGGTACCGGAATTCACACATGTTGGTACCCTACTTGGGGAAAAAGTGTTCATTTTTTCACTGTGTCCTCTGGTAACTGTATGCTCTCAGGGAGCAGGTACCATGCCACGGTTTCTTTTGGATAAAGTACATATTTAATAAATGATGTTGAATGACAGGTGGCAAGGGTTTCCTTATTCTTAGCTGTTGGGTTTGACATACCACAAATGCAATTGAATTGCTAACAGCTAATAGTTGAAAAGCCTACTATTTCATTGTTGCTTTTATATATTTAAATTGCTTTTAAAATAATATGTGAATAGTGTTATTAAAAGTCACTTTTAACATAATATATGATTAGTGTTATAAAAAGTCAAACAATACAAAAATGTATAAAATTGATAATTAAAGACCCTCCTATTCTTTATCTACAGGTAATCACTGTTAACAAGGAGCATATATTCTTTGCATTTTAAACTAAAACCCTAGGAGGATTTGCTCTTTTGAATACTTGTAGGATTTATAAACTTAGTGAGTAAGAATGTGTCTGTTTAGTTTGGATTCCTTGGTATGGGTGCCCAGAAGTAGACACTTTCTTGCAAGAAGCAAAAGGAGAGAAAATGAAGATTGCAAGGGCTCAAAGATGTAACTCCTTTGTGTGTGTTTCTTGGCTTATCAGTTTTTAAGGATTGTGGGTCCAACCCATGATATCATTAGTGTTGTGATTATCACCAGCTTCACTGCCCCTGTTTGAGTTGAAAGATGGGAACTGGGTTTGCTTAGAATGACCAGAATTTATCCTCCGTAAAGTTTCTTTGCCAAAATGTTGGAGATATGAAAGTATGGGCCCTGAATAAGTATTTTTAAAATAATGTGATTTATAAGTGGCTTTAGATAAATGATATTTTCTTCTAAATGATCTTTGCTTATATCCCAGACTTTGGGGATGGGATGATTCAGTGGTCAGTATTCATTATATGGTTGTTATTTCTCAGTTTAGGGAAATGAATCAATTTTAACAAGGATGAATAGAAACTTGGACATTGTATAAGGAGCTGTATTTTTTTTAATGTTTTAAGTAATTTTAGATTTCTGAAAATTTGCAAAAACAGTGCAGAATTCAGTTGCCCTTTCTTCACTTACCTTATCTGAATGTTAACATCTTATAAAACCATAACACAATATCAAAACCAGGAAATTAAAATTGCCACAATACTATTAACTAAACTATAGACCTTATTCAAATTTCACCAGGTTTTTTTGTTTGTTTGTTTGTTTTAATTCTTCTTTTTCTTATCTTCCCCCGCCCAGGATCCAACTCAAAGTCCCACATTACATTTATCCGTCCTCTCCTTTGTCTCCTCCAATCTGTCACAATCCTAAGTCTTTCCTGGTCTTTCATAAATCGACGCTTTTTATGAGTACTGTTCAGTTCTGTTGTTTGCCTTATGTGTTTTCATGATAAGTATTGGCATGGTAGGAATTGAAAAGATAGGAGAATTTCCTATGTTTTCTCACGATAAGATTGAGGTGAAGCATTTGTAATAATACAGAAGTAAAGCTTTTGACAAGGCTGCTACAGCAGTGCTATTGTGCATCAATCACATGGGGACACACAGTGTGCACATGTCCCATTACAAGTGACGTTAACCTTTATCACCTGGTTAAAATGGTGTATGCTGGGTTTCTCCACTGCAAAGTTAGTGTGTTTTCCCTTTGCAATAAAAATAGCTACATATCTTGGGGCAGATACTTTCAGCCTATGCTAATATCCTGTTTCTTCTCAGATCTTTGCCCACTGATTTTAGCATCCAGCTGTGGATTTTGCCTGCAACAAATATTACTGTGATGTGTGCCTGTTGGTAATTTAGTGTTTCCCTCATTCCTTATACATTTATTATTAGGATTCTTCCGTAAGGAAGATCCCTTCCCCATTTATTCAGACATTGATATATACATTTATGTATTTGTATGGTTATTTATTTTTTGCTCAAATTGTTTTAGCTTTATTCATTGGGAGCTCCTTCACATTGTCTCCTGTATCTTTTTTACATGCCCTTTTTCTTTCTTTCTTTTTTTCTTTTTTTGAGACATTCCTAGTTTTCTGTACCACAAGATGATCTAGACTTATCTTGTATTTTATTCCCCCCGCCCCCAACCCTGGAATCAATCACTTCTCCAAAGAGCCCTGGCTCCTTTTATTAGAAAATGGTGTATAGCAACCAAGATCTGGATGCTTGATGTTTTCATGGTTACTGGGATGTCATTACTCCTAGGTCTCTCAGTGGACGGAGCTAGGAAATATATACATGTAAATTAACCCACACATACACACATATCTATATTTATTCCTTATATCTACCCCTTTGTGTATATATATTAAAATCAGTGAGTTATGCTGATATTTTGGATTCCAAAGCAATACAAGATTCATTCTAATCTCCCTCTTTGCTTATTCATAACTTCTTTCTCCAACAGTGAGAAACTTGTCTCTCATCTGCAGTATGTTTACCTGTTTGTTCAATCCTAGTGTATAAATAAAGAATTGCTAATCCATAACCCTATGAGTAGAACAGATTTACTAATTGGGGTACAGTATTTGTATACAGCTGGTTTTGGTTTTAGCATTACAACATTTAGTCAAGGTACAGTTTTTCAAAGTTACTTGGACTTTCAAAGTTACTTTTCTTCCCCACCCCCTTCAGCGTGGTTATGTCATTCATTTATAATACAGTTATATTCATTTGTTTCTCTTTGTATTCCTTTTATTATCCCTCTGCTCATCTCCACACCTCCCTCTCCCTTCCTGGTTGATTGTATGTACATACCTATGTAGGTACACATGTATTCATGTTGTATGTAAAACATCATTATAGTTCTGAGAGTGAAAGCTATACAAAAACTTGGAAATTCTCCTATTCCTATAACCCTGTTCCCATTCCTCCTTCTTTCCACCCCTTTTCCCATAAGCTGTGGGTCACCATTTCTGTAGTTTTTGGTTTATCCTTCCTATATTTCTTCTGTAAAACAAGCAGTTAAATGTGTATTTTATTTTTAACTACTTTAATAAGTTATAATTTACACACCATAAAATTCACCATTCTAAGTAAGTGTATAAATCAATGAGTTGGGGTAAATCAGCTGAGTTGTGCAACTAGTACATAATGTAATTTTCATACATTTTCCTCATCTCAGTAAGATCCCTCATACCCATGTACAGTTAACCCTTGTTCCTAGCCCCAGCTCCAGGCAACCACTGATCTATTTCCTGTCTCTATAGATTTGCCTTTTCTGGACATGTCATATACATGGAATCGTACAATAAGTGGTCTTTTGTGTCTGGCTTCTTTCACAGAGCATAATGTTTTTGAGGTTCATCCATGTTATAGATTTTATTGGCATTTCATTCCTTTTTATTGTTGACTAGTATTCCAGTGTATGGGCACATCATATTTTGTTTATACATTCAGCAGTTGATAGACATTTGGGTTGTTTTTACTTTTGGGCTATGATAAATAATGTTGCTATGAACATTCACCTGCAAGTCTGTGTGGACATAATTTTGCATTTCTCTTAGATATACACCTAGGAGTAGAATTTCTGGGTCATATGGTAAATTTATATGTAATCTTTTAAGAAACTGCCAAACTCTTTTCCTAAGTGGCTGTGCCATCTTATATTACCATCAACAATGTATGAAGGTCCCCATTTCTCCACATCCCTGCCAACATTTGTTATTGTCTGTCCTTTTTATTATAACTTTTCTAGTGAGTGTGAAATGCTATCTCATTGTGGTTTTAATTTGAATTCCCCTAATAATGATGTTGAGCATCTTTTCATGTGCTTATTAGCCATTCACATATCTTCTTTGGTAAAGTATCTATTTAAATTGTTTGCCCATTCTAAAATTGAGTTGTTTGTTTTCTTATTATTGAATTGTAAGAGTTCTTTGTAGGTCCTTTATAAGGTATGTGATTGGCAACATTTTTTTTTTACCAATGTGCAGCTTGCCTTCATTTTCTTAATGGTGTCTTTTGAAGTACAAAAGTTTTTTTATATATAAGGCCCAATTTATACATTTTTAAATTTATGGATTGTATGTTTAGTGTTTTATCTAAGAAATATTTACATAACCCAAGGTCTCAAAGACTTTCTCATGAAAGCTTTGTATTTTTTCTGAAAAGCTTTATAGTTTTAGCTCTTACATTTTAGGTCTCTGATCCATTTTGAGTTGATTTTTGTGTATGGTGTGAGGTAAGAGCCTAAATTAACCTTTTCACATATGGATATCCAATTGTCTCAGCACCATTTATTGAAAAGACTTATTTCTCCCAATAAATTGCCTTAGTACTTTTGTGTAAAATCAAGTGACCATAAATATAAGGGTTTATTTCTGGACTCTCAGTTCTGTTCCGTTAATCTATATGTCTGTCTTTATGCCCATACCACACACTGTCTTGATAACTGTAGTTTTATACAAAGCCCTCCAAATCTGTTCTTTTACAAAATTGTTTTGGTTCTTCTGAGTCTTTTGGATTTCCATATAAATTTTAGGATAATCTTATCAAGTTCTACAAAAAAAAGCACACTCACTGAAATTTCATGTGTGTGTGTTTTTTATATCCCCTTATTTTTTCTATGAAGATAACATACAACAGATACTCTTGTGTTTTGAATTTTTTTGCTTAATAGTATATCCTAGCAATCACTCCAAATCAGTTCATTGAGAGCTTTCTCATTGTTTTCTTTTAACAGCTGCATAGTACTTCACTGAGTAAATGTACCATAATTCTTCAACTACTCTGCTACGTATGGGCATTTAGGTTGTTTCTAGTATTTTATAATTACAAATGCTGCAGTGAATAACCTTATGCATATTTATTTTCCGATTGTTCATGTATCTGCAGGGTAGTTTCCTAGAAGTGGGATGGCTGATTAAAAGATACATGCATATTTCTTCATACTAAAGAAATCGCAGCTGTCTGGTTTACTTTTGTTTTGTTCCTCAGACATTGATGAATGTGAAAACGAACTCAACGGAGGCTGTGTCCATGACTGTTTGAATATTCCAGGCAATTATCGCTGTACTTGTTTTGATGGCTTCATGTTGGCTCATGATGGTCATAATTGTCTTGGTAAGAAAAATGGTTGAAAATAACAATTCTCCTTTACCCTCTGGCACCCCCACCCCTTTCTTTCCTTTGATGAAATACTCATTAAAACAAAAAGGAGGGGGGTCAGAGACTTGTGTTTTCTGTCCCCATAGAAATCACACTCCCTGACAGAAAACAAAGTGAAGTGTTTTAGTTTTTATGTAATCATTCATAATATAAATCCTCCATTAGTCCAAGGAGATGTGTGGACATCATTACTCCTTATTGACTTTCTAGCATACACTTGTCACCTTGAAGATCTTTGATTTTGTGTTAAAGGGTCTTGACTTACATCCATTTCTTTAATGCTGTAAGTGTCTCTATTCTAGAATTAGGTAAAACTACTAACTACTTGTCCTGAAGACTCCAAATGTGTGCTTGGATCTCAGCCAGGTATACCCCCCTCTTTCTCCTTGAGAGGGAGAGAGAAATTCAAACAGACACCTTCCTTTAACATCCTCCTAGTATTCCACAAAACAGAAACATGTGTTGGACTTTCAGTCCTTGAGCTAGGGACCGCAAAGAGTGTTGTTTACATTGGTTTCTTATGCCAGGAATAAAACAGAACTTAGAAATAGCAAGCACTTGGCTAGGCTTGAGTGTTGGATAGTCTTAGAGGATGCAGCACACCTGGCAGGCAAGTATTTGCGATCTGTTTGCATTTCAAGGCTGGTGTTATCAGTTGTACAGGAGGACATCATAGGAGACAGGTGGCATCAGATTCCTTTGACACTGATAACCCCTCATGTGGTTGACCCGCTGATGTCTACTTGGCTGACCAAGGAGCAACTGAAGCCAGGCCCTGACTCTGTGGGGACAGCTATTCAGATGCCCCCTTACAGTGCAGTGGGAATGGCCATTTGATCAAATGCTTTGAGATCATCATAAAAGTTACTAGATCAGTACAGGCAGAACTTGTAATTTGAGTGTTGAGGAAGGAGAGTATTTCCATTTGGGACTCACCCCCTTATGTGACCTTAATCCACTTCTGTGTCACTTGGAGCCTGATGTACACTCTGTCCCTTCCTGCCTGAGCCCTGTGTAAGAGGTCAGGCTTTGGATCAGACCACTGGGCTTTCCAAGCCTACAGTTATCAGGAAGACTTGATTGAGGGCTGGAGGGTCACTAACCCCTTTTCAGACTTTGTAGGCTCTCAGTACCACAAAAAGACACGTTAGAGAGATAAGCCTGAGAGCAGCAATAAATTGAGATTAATTAAAAACTAAAAAAAAATCACTTTTAGTGTGCAATTTGTTGGGAAGCATACAGTATGTTTGTGAGTTTTTTCATTCTTTTTACAATTTTCTAGGGGAAATTTCACATTTCCCTTTGATTTGCCAACAGTGGCATTTTGAGGACCTATATCTGATGGCAGACCCAGTCAACACAGTTGTGCTGAAACCATAGCCTGGGGGGAGTGTGAGTTTCCTAAGAACAACCAGCTGAACCATCCAGGGCTTAAGGACCTGGGCCAGGGGGTGGGTGGAGTGGCTCTGAGTAAAGACATGCTCAGAACTCCTGAGGCCTGGAGTCCATGGTTGCCTGGCCACTAACAGATATTTCAGCAGACTCTTTCCGTTTCCCCTGCTTGGGGTTTTTTTTGTGGGTTTTGTAGCAAGGGTCTGCCTTGCAGAAAGATCCTGAGAGTCCACTTCCATGGACTCTATCTGAAGGGGCTAAGGATTCTTTAAAGGAAGGCATGAGAAAATCAAGTGGTACATTAAGAAGAGCAGGAATCACACACATAGAGACTTCTCTGCCATGTAAACTTGAAAGGACTGAAGCATTTTGTGACAAGAAAGGAGCTCAAAGCCCAAAGTTTCAGGAGCAGCCGTTTCCTGTGTTCTCTGGGATGAGCCTGTACCTCCCCTCAGCCCCCTAACCTCACATTAGTCACAAATATATTAGCCAGAATGTACAGAGTACAAATACCACTAAGCTCTGGCACTAAACCCAGAGTCCTCCAAGATCTGAATGTCCGTGAGCCGCAAAAGTAAAATGCAGCTCTTCCACACAGCACGCCCCACCTGAATTCCGTTTCTATTTATTGAGTGTCTGGAGGCACACTATAGCTGTTCGGTTTTGTAGCAGCGGTTCTCAACTCAGGCTGCACATTGGAATCACTTGAGAAATTTAAAATAACACCATTGCCTAGGTCTCATCCAAGACTAGCTATATCAGCGTCTCAGGAGGTGGATCAGGCGTCAGGGTTCTAACGTGCAGCCAGGGTTGTAAAACCATTTTACAGTCTGGAGAAGCACCAGCCTAGTGATGTACATGTGTGCACGTGAACACACACACTTTTGTATTAATTCAGTTAGAGTGCATCACCCAACTTAATGACACATTTCTAATTGCTTTGGAGAAAAGGAAGAGTGTGTTAAATCAATGTGGGGTGGGAGCATACCTTTATTCAAAACCGATTCAGGATTTGGTGTCCAGGGAAACAGCGCTCTCCTGCTCACAGTGAGTCCTTGCTGAGGAACTCCTAGGCCAGGTGTGTCCCAGTGTGGCTTATCCTCTGGAATGTGCTCCCTTCACCCTTTGGCACAGAGAAGGGCACGTTTGTTCAGCTTTAGGGGATGGCTTGAGTCCCATCAGTTTAGAAAGGCATCTATCTGCTCGGTAGTGTGGGAAGGTGGATGACTGTAAGATCTGAAGCTTGAAACCAGATAACAGATATTTAAATGTGAATTTTCTTGTTACGGATATGCCCACGAGCTAGTGATAGGCACGTGGGAAATCAGGCTGGAGAAAATAAATTGCTTTTATATCAGCCTTCTCCTTGAGCCTCTGTCACGTCTGAGACTGTTCTGGAAGTTTCCTCTTCTTTGGCTCCGGTGATGCTGTGCTCTCCTGCTTGCTTGTTCATGCACTGAACAGTTGATGTGCATGTGCAGATTCCAGGGCTATGCGAAATAAAACACAAATCTTGAGCCTCAAGGAGTTTGCCGTCTAGTGGAGATGGCTAAGTAAAAGATTTTGAGGGATCAAAAGGTGCAAATTAGAAACAAAACAATTTTGAGAATGCGGTGTGGTAAGTGTACACATGTGTGTGACACAGTGGAAGGATAGTCCCCTAACCCCACCCTGGGGGCGTGGCACTGGGAGACGCACCTCCCTCCCCATCTTTTGATGGCTTCTTCTCTGGGGCTCCTGCTGTCTCCTCTACTTCTTCCTGCTCCTGGTAGTCTCCTGAATTCCACCTCTGGTGTCTCCTTTCTGCTCCCCTCTCTCTCTCTTCCCACACTCTTGCCTTTGGCTTTCTCATGTACATCCACCATTTTAGCAGGCCACTACAAGTAAATGGTTTTCAGAGCTGTCTTTACAACACCAGGCTTAGGTCTCCCACTCCCTGCCAGACTTAGCCCTGAACATCAGCACCTCACATTATTACCTCCCTGCCCGGGTGGGGGCCAACCACATCCCCACCCCCATTTCTATACCCAGTGCTGCTCTTCCCATGTTTCCTGGCCACTCTACCCCATGGCTCCCTGCCCTGCAGACACCTTGTCCACAGTCCTCTGTCATCTTTTCCTTCCTAGGCATTCCCACTGCCAGGCCCCAGGTCCGGTCCCCCCCCCCCATCACCATCTGTGGCTGTTTCAGGCACTCGTGTGAAGCTAGGCTCCCAGGCTTTCAATTCTTGCCTTCCTCAGTGTGTTTCCCTCAGCTGCTACCTTCTTCTTCCCAACACGAAGGACTGACCATGTCACCCCTGCTCCAGTGGTTCCCAGTTGCCTCCCAAATGAAGTAGGTCCTTCTTTGCTTGTTATTCAAGGTCCTCTGCAGTGTGATCCCCAATCTGTCTTCCCAGCTCTGTCTCCTGTGACTTCCCTGCTTGTACCCATGCTCCAGCCCAGTGGAACGACCCACCATTGTTATCTGAACAGATTCCATGCTCCCCAGCTTTCCTGCTGGCGCTCATGCTCTTTCTTCTACCTAGAATTTTTGTACCTAATCTGTAATTGAAGAAACACTGCCGGGCCCAAACTTCATCAGCTTTTCCAGGAAACCCACCCTGATACCCTACAGCCAGATGTAACCTCTCTTTCCTTTGTACCACCCTTTTACCATATCTCGTAATTACTTGTATATTTGTCTTTTTCTTCCTCCTGAAGGGCATGCTCCTACAGCGAAGGAATTTGATCTTACTCATCTATGTTTTACTGTCTCCATGACCACCGTATTTTGGAAAGAGAAGGGGTTCAATAAATATTTACTGAACTGATTATCTTGTGTGCATGTGGAAGGCCTTTTTAAGTGAGCCCCAAACCCATGAGGGCTGGTTAATCATACAGGGGTCCCATCGGCTTCAATTCTCAGAGCTTCTGTGATGCAGGTACCGGAAGAGAGACCTCATCTCTGCTTAGTAGGCGTCCCTGAGTTGCTGGGCTGGGTGGGGTGTTTGAAACAATCACGAAAGCAGAGGCTAAGCCTTCTCCCCCTCCAGATGTGGACGAGTGCCTAGAGAACAATGGCGGCTGCCAGCACACCTGTGTCAACGTTATGGGGAGCTACGAGTGCCGCTGCAAGGAGGGTTTTTTCCTGAGTGACAATCAGCACACGTGCATTCACCGCTTAGAAGGTACCTCTGCCTTGTTGTGTGTGTGGGGGGTGGGTTGTTAGCTCACCCCCCCCCCGCCCCTCCCCAGCAACTTTAGAAGGGAAGCATGGGCTCTAGAGAGTCTGGAGGCCTGAGGATGAGTCCAGACTCTGCTACTGGGTAACTGTGGGCAAATTATTTTAGCTTCAACTCCCTCACCTAGCAAAATAAGTGAGTTGGACTGGGTGAGCTCTGAGGTCTCTTCAAACTCTTACATTCTCTGATTCTAATCTTTAAATAGAGTGCATTTCAAGCATGACTAGATGTCTCAGGAAAAATGGACAAACTGCCAAGTTTTTAAAAAATGTGCTGCAAACCACAGCACCAAGTGCCAGCCTGCTCCTTGCTGAGGGTGGGTGGGGAAGGACTGCAGCCTTCTGAAGGAGACTTCCAGGACTTGGCCTTGTTTTCAGCCCCAGGCTGGACCTGGCCTTTCCTGTGTTTTGCATCTTTGAACTCTGAGCCTCTAGGGCTCCAGGGGTAGGGGACCCCCTCCCATATTTGGGTTCTCTATGGTGTGATTTCCTTCATCCGTGGCACCACCTACCATTCCTCCACAAATCTTCAGAAAACTGTTCTCTTCTGATGACTTCCCTTTCATTCTCTCTGCATTGAGTTTATACCTTGTTTTTATTCCTCTTTCAGTTCAGTGGACTCTTGGGAGGGAGAGGCCTTGTGGTCAGCCAGCCACTTTTAACAGAGTGATGTACTTTTAACTGTTCTCTGCTCTTTCTTAGGCCAAACAATCACTTTGGTGGCAGTATTTCTTCTCCCATGGTTGCCTGTGCCTGTTTTTAAAGGAAGTGCCCTAAATATCAGACTATTAACTCCTTGTTCATTCCCATAACTTAAGAATGAGGTGATTTTAAGTTCTTCTATTTAATCACAGATTTGTAGGTTTAGTCTTTTAATCTTAGTTTTAGTGACTTTTCAAGGGTTTCTTTGGGGAAGATGTTTTTTGCCTCGTTTTCCAAGAATGATGGCTCCTTCCGTAGGAGCCTGTTTGGGTACTAAGAATGGTCAGAAAAAACACCAGAGGCAGTGGGTTTGGTGACTCTCACCACCCCAGCCTGCTCACTGTCAGCGTTTGAGCAGGGTAGTCACACACTCTGGCTCTAATCAGGTGGATCTCTATCTCATGGAGGCTTGATAGAGAAGCAGTTGAGTTTTATTTTCCCGCCCCACTCTCTGGACTCTTTGGGGAGCTCTGCATCTGGTCTGAGGCAGAATTAAGATGGATCTCAGGGCATTTCCCCTTTGGTTGCTCAAATCTGCTTCCTGGGAAGTAACTCTGGCTCCTCTTCACACAGTAAGGAGGTTGGTGGGGACCTGTAGGTGAAGCCATTGTTTGAACACCCCCAGCGTGGACCTTACCCACTCACAAAGCGACTCATCTCTTCCTCTTGCACTTCCAAAACAGCGGCTCAGCCCCTTTTACCCCTCCAGCACGCCCCCCTCCCCCAGACTGATTTCAGACACAGGCTCCTCATAACAGAAGTAAATACAAAAACAGTCCCTTTCCACAATCTGTGTTTTCTAAATTTTCTACAATTCAGACATTCTTGGAACCCCTGAAGAGCATTTAAAATGAACATATTTGTCTGGAGCGAAACCAAAATCCAAGAATTTGAGTTGTGGTCTGGAAGTGCTTTCTGTGATTTTCTGTTGTGTTTCAACCTGATTGCTTGGCAAACCCGTGTCAGCGCGAGCCAACAGATTATAGCGGTCTGTGATTGAGACCCCTTCATCCTAGGGCTTTAACTCTTCAAATAGAACAATCTGTGAACAGTATTCCTTTAGGATTTCCTCCCTATGTGCACATTAAACTCTTAGAAACTGTATTAAAATAGACTTTGAAACCCACACTTGATACGGGAAAAATGATTCAAAGAAGGTGACACTGCAAGCTAGTATTTTCGTGTTGCTGTTTTTAATAGTTATTTAATAGTTACTGTTTTAAATAGTTATGTGCTAAATGTTCTTCAATATAAGGGACCATAATAGCTAACTCTGAGGGAAAGCTCAAGCTATTGATGTGTTTTAATCCTTAGAGACCCCAGAGCTCTGAGGGAGAGACTGTGTGTTTTCACCCATGTAATGGGGGTAGGCTGGGGAGAGACACCATCGCCCCAGCCTGCCTTTGTCCCTATTCATGGGTGCTCAGGCTCTCAAAATGAGCATTCCTCTTTTGTTTTGTCTGCTCTGAGAATATTTTTAGATGTTTGTACTGCTGCCTTTTCAGAGCAGCGGGGAAGGTATCAGGGTAGTGAGGAAGGGGCTGTGCTCTCACCAGGGCCTGCTTCCTCCTTTGTGGAATGTTTCTCGCCCTGTTGGCAAGCCATATTTTTATTTGGTTTCCAGAAATATTCTTTAGTGAGACCCTGAGACTGGGACCACCTGAATGGGGCACTTCTAGTGTTTCTGAGCTATTTAACTCCTGGTGAACTAACAACCCTAAACATGACTGCCATGTTTCTGGGGGGTGGTGGGGGAGCCAAGACCATGGCTGGGACCCCCAGTTTGGACCAGATCCATCTTCTTCCCCTAGCAGTAGCCTTGTTTTAAGTCAGGTTTAAGTCAGGGTGCTCTGACAAGCTTCAGGATCACTTTTCAAAAAGCCCTCAGCATCTCCAGAGCCATTTAAACCTTTTTCTCCTGCTAGCTTGATATGATATGACATCAGAGGGGAACTTTTTTTGTATCCCCGTGGCATCTGGAACACAGTGAGTTCTTATGAAACATTTCTTGTGTAAATGAATTGCTCTGAGGCAGCAAAGGTCACTTTGCAAATGTCTTAACAGACTTATAAACAGTGTGAAAAAGAAGCAGCAGCAGCTGACGTGTTTGGGGGGTGTGCTTTGCAGGTGTTACTGGCGCCTTTTCTTGGGCACTGTTACGTGCACCCCTAGGTGCTCCCAGCTCCTGTTATTTCTAATGCTCTGCTGACCCAGGACAAGCGTAATGCTTGGGCCTTCCTGGGAGGGCAGGATGCTGCTTCCAGAGGCAGCTCTCACCTCCCGTACCATCTTGGTACCGGGAGAAAATAATGTCTTCAGAAATGTCCAGCCAGAGCAAAGAGAGTTTTCCACCAATCCAGTGTAAGCAAGCCTCTTTCTGTGTTAACTGACAGCAGGCTTTGGCATGGGCAAATGAGTCCCAGCAACTTCCAGCAGACTGACTGCTAGAGTTCAAACAGCTCGTACCTATCAGATAACAAAGAAGATGGTTTTAAGAGAGGATGGGATGTATTAATTGTTACACTGTCTTTTGGAACAAGTGTGACATCTGTTTGTGTTAAAATAATTATTCTAGTTAAGCATAGATTGATGGCTCTGTGGTAGAATTGGAGAGATGTGACTTTTGACTTCATTAGAACCAAATAAATGGCTAAGGTTTTAGCAGCTTGATATAGAACAGTGTGGGACCCTAGGGAAGTTGAATAAAAACTCTTTATACTCATGTTTAAAACAGTGCCACTTCCAGTATTAGAACGTGTCTTGTCAGTAGAGAGCCAATGAGAAAAAATCCCTATTGTCAAAGATGCTTTAGAGTTGCACTGCACACACTCAAAGAAGCATCACATGAACATGTACTTAATAATGCACTACAGACTGAGCCGACGTTTTGAGAACACTCTTAGGTGTGGTAGAGTTCCTACCACAGAATGCTGGCAAGTGACAAGGTCCCAAAGAATTAGTTTTGAGATGAGACACAATGCTGGCAAACTGTATAGGTATATACTTTGCCATGACCCCATTATTTCGATGCATGTTAAACCATCCAGAAAAATAACCACCTTTCTCACTTCTTGCCACCGTTACCACAAGATTGGGGCTAGTGAAACTTATTGTATACCTGAAAAGAATTATAGAGCAGCTAAAGGAAACCACGCATAAGAGGTCTTTCTCTGTTTTCTTTGTCATCGTGTTGTTGTTGTATGACACTGTGAGAGGCTTGTGCTCCAAGCCTGCTGAGGGAGGGGCCCAGGGACTAACTGAAGGTGGTCACAGTAGAGAGGTCCCTGGGCAGGTGTCCATGTGGTGGTGCCAAAATACAGTAGCCACAGACGCCTCCCAAGTGTGGATTTGGTGGGGGCAGAGAGGAGGGTGGGAATTGCCTGAAAATTGTCTTCAAGAGTATGTGAGAACAGTGGGACTCATCAGTCCATCTGCAGAATTTCTTAGGGAGACTCCTTTCCTCTTTGCGTTCTTGATCAGCATGGGTAACCATTTCCTGGGGTCAGCAGGCTTTGATTCCACCCCCAGCAGAGAGCTTCTGGTGGGTGATTTCTTTTCACTTTGTTGGGGGGGCTCCTACCTCTTTCAGAGAGTGGAGACATCACATCTGTCGGGTGACATAAGAAATTTTTCATGTCTCTGTTAATGGACCTGCCTTGATTTTAATGATATATTCTTTTAAAATACGGGGCTGCTGGAGACCCAGGCAGGCAAGTGCGTGGCCCACCCTGATCTCCAGCTGCTTGCTGCTGTTTTGCAGAGGGTCTGAGCTGTATGAATAAGAATCACGGCTGTAGTCACATCTGCAAGGAGGCCCCGAGGGGCAGCGTCGCCTGCGAATGCAGGCCTGGCTTTGAACTGGCCAAGAACCAGAGAGACTGCGTCTGTAAGTATGGACTGGCACACGCCCATGCTGGGGACCATCCTTCCCCGAAGGCTGTCTTCTGCAGCCCAGCATCAGAAACGCCATCTCATGGCACAGCAGCAGCAGCAGGGAAGGCAGTTGACAGAGATACTGACCTCTGAGTACTCAGTTCACTGCACAAGGGGAGTTCCCCATAGGGAAGGGAATGGTATTTTTTAAAGGAACCAGTCAGAAGGAAATGAAATTCAGGAGTAAGGAGTGTGGATGTTAGAGACTGGCTTTCCCTTTTTCCATAGGCTGAAATCAAATGTCCTCATCTGGGAATCACAGCTCTTTGCTACCTGGTTCCTGCTTCTTTTACAAGCTTCATCTACCTCTTTTTCCAAACACCGGATTCTTTGCCTGTTAGAGAACAGCCCCTATTCTTTCATGCCTGCAAGCCTTTTCCATGCCCTCCTCCCTTCCTGGCTTGGTGAATTCTCACTCAGCCTTCTAATATAACTTCTAATAAGGATAAGGAGAAAATAGCTACATTTGGGGGAGCATTTCTTATGTGCCAAGTCTTGTCCAAAGATGTACCATGTTCCATTTAATTCTCACAATCACCACCCTAGGAGCTAAGTAATATCCTCATTTTTAGTTGAGAAAATTGTGGAGAAGGTTAAGCAGCATGTCACACAGGGAAAATTAGGATTTTCCAAACATGGGTCCGCCTAACTGTAAAGCCTGTGCTCTTGGCCACCATGCTACATTACCCAGAATTCTCTCTGATGGCTTCAGACTAGGTAGGCACTTTGTATTTTGGCCCCCACAGCACTGTTTATTCCTCACTTCTCGGGCATGACACTCTGGTTTAAATTGTGTATTTATGTGTCTGTCTCTTCAACTATGAGCTCCTCCAACTCAGGACCTTATCTTATTTTTGCCTCTCAGTCTTCTCCTGGTTCCTACCACAGTATGTGCTGAATCCACATTTGTTTAATTAATGGATCAATGAAAAGTGTACGCAGTCCAGACACAGCTGCCACACAATGATAAAACACAGTAATGAAACGCCAACGGATAATAGGAAACAGCCGACCATTAAAGGGGTTCCTAAACCACTATTTATGCCACTGAGGGTTTCCTTTTAGGCACTCCTTCCAAAGCCATGGACCCTCCAGAAGGCCCCTGCAGTTTGCTAGGGATGGCAGTTGACAGTGACTAGACCTTAGTGGTTAAGGGATGAGGAGACAGTTTCTCTGGGGAGAGACTTCTCCCCACTGTCTCCATCACAAAGCAGAGTGTAGCCTTGAAGCCTGCCAATCCAGGGCTGGTGCCACTGTCACAAACAAGTTCTGACAGGCTTGTGAAGTTCCAAGTGAGGCTGTCCCTGAAGGCTTCCAATAGGCGAGGCAGAACGAAGACCACTTATCCTAGCTCCAGGTATCTTCAAAAGGGGACCTAGGTCCGCTAAGACTTACCTGTGGAGTGAGATGGTCAGCATTTCACAGTCTTTCAGGGGCTTATTTTTAAAATGTTTTTTAAGATGTCACTGCTTAAATAA